ATATACAATGGAATATTATGCAGCCATCAAAAGGAATGAAATCTTGCCATTTGCAACGACGTGGATGGAACTGGAGGGTGTTATGCTGAGGGAAATAAGTCAATCAGAGAAAGACATGTCATATGTTCTCACTGATATGAGGAATTCTTAATCTCAGGAAACAAACTGAGGGTTGCTGGAGTGGTGGGGGATGGGAGGGATGGGGTGGCTGGGTGATAGACTTTGGGGAGGGTATGTGCTATGGTAAGTGCTGTGAATTGTGCAAGACTGTTGAATCACAGATCTGTACCTCTGAAACAAATAATACATTATGTTAAAAAAAAAAGAAGATAGCAGGAGGGGAAGAATGAAGAGGGGGAAATCGGAGGGGGAGATGAATCATGAGAGACAATGGACTCTGAAAAACAAACTGAGGGTTCTAGAGGGGAGTGGGGTGGGAGGATGGCTTAGCCTGGTGATGGGTATTAAAGAGGGTATGTTCTGCATGGAGCACTGGGTGATATACACAAACAATGAATCATGGAACACTACATCAAAAACTAATGATATAATGTATGATGACTAATATAACAAAAAAAAACCCTAATGATGTGATGTGTGGTAATTAACATAATAATAAAAAAATTAAAAAAAATAAAATAAATCCATCTATTATATTAGAATTAAAAAAAAATGTATTACCTGTTTGCTCCAAATCCACATATGATACTTGCTTCTTTGCCTAGCTATCAAAGAAATTGTATGTTTTTTTAAAGATTTTTTTATTATTATTTATTTATTTGAGAGAGAGAGAGAGATTGAGCATGAGATGGGGGGAGAGTCAGAGGGAGAAGTAGGCTCCCTGCTGAGCAGGGACCCCGATGCAGGACTGGATCCCCGGACTCCAGGATCATGACCTGAGCCAAAGACAGCCACTTAACTGACTGATCCACCCAGGTGCCCCAAATTGCATGTTTAATAAAGGTCAGACCTATATTTTGTGTGAAAATGAATGTTGTAGTGATTTTTTTAATCAACATAATAATCTAAGAATGACATTTTAGTAAGCTGGCCCATGTGTGCCTCTTTTTTTTAGAAAAAGAAGTCAGTGCAAAGTAATTGATGGACACAAAATGATGATCTTTTTTCCCATGATTGTCTTTAAAGTCAAATACTGTTTGTAGTTCCATAAAATGATTAAGTTGAAACTTATGAAACTGCCAATGTTTAACTCTCTTTGACTTAAAAAAATGAAAATTTCATGTATTTCTATGTAATAATATATGATCTCTCTGCATTCTTGGTTTTCACATGGTATTCTTTTATCTGGATCACACTTTCCCCATTAATTCATATTTTTTGCTCAAGTATTAGCTCATTTGCTCAGTTCCACTTTGGAAAATCATTTCTTTTTCCTAATTATTATACTCAGATTATTTTCTTCTTTTTTTCCCCAACCATTATTTTTGGTCTATATCCCTTCTATGACAATTATATTATTTATTTCTCTGTATGTCTGTCTTTTACGAGACTTGGTTTTGTTTGCTTCTTGCATACCACATCCATTACAGTATATTTTTGTATGCAAACTTTATGAACAAGAACATGTCTAGGGCTTGAACAATGTGCCTGGGAGGAATAGAAAGTGGTTGCCAGGGGCTTGAGGCTGGGCGATATGGGGAAAGGTTGGTAAAAGAATGTAACTTTCAGGGGCGCCTGGGTGGCTCAGTTGGTTGAGCGGCTGCCTTCGGCTCAGGTCATGATCCTGGAGTCCCGGGATCGAGTCCCGCATCGGGCTCCCGGCTCAGCGGGGAGCCTGCTTCTCCCTCTGACCCTATCTCCTCTCATGCTGTTTCTCTCTCTCTCTCAAATAAATAAATAAATAAATAAATAAATAAATAAAAAAGAATATAACTTTCAGTTATAAGATGAATAAAGTCTAAGAATCTAATGTATAACATGGTGACTATAGCTAATACTCTTTGTATAAATTTGCTAAGAAAGCAGAACTTTTAAAAATGATAAATATGCAAGGTGGTAGATATGGTAATTAATTACATGGAGAGAATCTTTTCACAGTGTATATGTGTTTCAAATCATTATGATGTACATTTTAAACATTTATCCATTTTATTTTTCTCAATAAATCTGAAGAAAATATGCTCTGGGGGCCACACGTACTACTCATTTCATACTGGTAGCATCAGCTTGCATTCAAATTCTGACCCAGCCATTTTACCTACCCAAGATACTTAGGTGACTTGAACCTTAATCTAAGTAAATATAAAATGGGGACAATAATGGGATTTATTGCATAGGATAATTGTGAAGATTGGCTGTGACAATATGTAGAAGTGGTTATTTTTAGATTTTCTAGGCTGTCACAATATATTTCCATTATAGATTTTAAAGTGTCTTAAGTGGAAAATCACATGTATTGGTTCAGAAAAAAACTGGACAAAATTCTACTGAGGACAAAGGGGAATTTAAAAATTTGAGCTCTCAGAATTTGTCATAATATAACCGTCCATGTTTATCTACTTTGTCTACTCTTTGCTTTTGATTTGCCTTTGCTCCTCTCATCAATGTGTATGACAGTGATGGGCCCCAGGCAAGTAGATGTAAGGAAATAGTTTAGAAATCTAATCAATGCAACAAGATTTTTTCTTAGAATTTTATTGGAAGATTAAAACAAAAACATTTCCATTGTCATGTGAAAAGGAAAAAATGAGCATTTGTAGTCAAGCGTTTTGTGTTCATTAATGTTGGCTCTTTTCTAGAAATTTGTTCTCAAGAATAGTGTACACATTCAGGGTTAATTCAAAAGAATTAATTGTACCTGCTATGTAACTGATTGTATTATGTCAGTGGCTTCCTATTTTTGCAAAGTGGTAAAACCCATAAAGCATATGGAAGTTCAATTTATAAAGCAAGTGTAAGTGGAAGGATATACATTAAAAAGGAGCCAGGGTATTGAAACCTATGCATATTCAGTTTACCTGTACATATGTAGAGAGTAATTTAATTAATTAAAATTATTTAAAAATATATACAAAGTCAAAATCTCACCAGTGTTCTTAAGCCTCCATACACAAAAGGAAAACATTTCAACCTTTAGTCTGATGCGTGTATTTAATACAGAAAATCAGGTAGTGAGATAAATTATTCCTTGTCTAAAAATCAAGACTGCATGTGTCAATAAGGTAAACATGAGTTTTTACAATTTGTTATCAACCTTAATTAAACAAATATATATGTAATAAGATTACACACAGTATTCAGAATACCATCTTGTCTATGCAAATTCCAACAATTCCACGTTTTCATGAAGAAAACACCCTATAAACATGTACTGACTGTATGACAAGCACTTTGAAAAGCTATGACATATAATTCTAAAAATCAGTCCTAAAACTTAAGTATTAGTATCTCCATTTTTTAAGAATAAAATCTAGTGGGACACCTGGGTGGCTCAATCAGTTAAGCAACTGCCTTCAGCTCCGGTCTTGATCCTGGGGTCCTGGGTTGGAGTCCTGCATTTGACTCCCTGCTCAGTGGGGAGCCTGCTTCTCCCTCTCCACTCCGCCTGCTTGTGCTCGCTCTCTCTCTCTCTGTCAAATAAATAAATAAAATGTTAAAAAAAAAAATTAGTAATTGGCAACACCAGGATTCAAAATATCAGAGTTTCAAGTCCCCCCACCCTTCACTCTGGCTATTATGGTAATCCAAAATAAAAGCATTACCCTAATACAATGTAAATTTATTATTGGAGGCATGGATTGAATGAAAATGTTTTATTAGATTATTTAATTAACACTATATGAATATGATTTGACTAGGAATGTGTTATAAAGAAAAATAAATCGATGGGGGCACCCGGGTGGCTCAGTCGTTAAGCGTCTGCCTTCGGCTCAGGTCATGATCCCAGGGTCCTGGGATCGAGTCCCGCATCCGGCTCCCAGCTCGGCGGGAAGCCTGCTTCTCCCTCTCCCACTCCCCCTGCTTGTGTTCTCTCTCTCGCTGTGTCTCTCTCTGTCAAATAAATAAAACCTTTTAAAAAAAAAAAGATAAATCGATGTAGAGAAATAGCGTACAAATTACACTGGTTTTATAAGACTTCATGTGGAGAGATATCTATTCTTTGAAGTATAACATTATAAAATTTGGGTCTGTCATCTGGCAACTAAAGATATTCTTGTTTGACACATTGTTAAAAGCACTTTAATTCTAGAAAATTCAAAACAATAACTTCTGTAATCAGTTTACTTTGATTTCCAGAATTAATCACAATCTCACTATATGATCTTGACAGCGTATCTCCTTTTTGACAATAATGAACCACTTGACTGAAACATTCATGTCTTGAAAGAAAAGAATTAAATGTGAACTGATGTGTTCATAACTGCATTACTTCACTTTTTTATGATCTGAAATAGGAATTTATTTGATGTGGAACACTTTTGTTATAATCTTTATGGGTCAAAGGAAATCATGTACATTGCCCCTAAGCTCTAAATGCATTATTTCTGCAAATCTATTTGAAAACTCATTAGTTTAGCTAATACTTCAGTAAGACAATAAGTTTACCACAGCTATGCTCCCAAATGAGCAGAGAATATATAACTTCAACAAATCCTAATGGCTGCTATTCAGATAAGGAAGGGAGAAGGAAAAAAGGAAGAAAGGGGGAAATCAGGCCTAGAGGATGGGAGGAAATCTTGATTTATAGCAGCAGTATTTTGAGAATTTCTAACAAACTTAACTGATAGAAATCATTTCAGCCCCCAACAAGAATTGATTATGTAATATCAAAACACTCTTTTGAAAGGGGCAAGTAAACTTATTTTTAACGTGAGAAAATATTTTAACATTCTCCCCAAATTGAGTTACCCTTGCAATATATACAGAAATTTTGGTAAAGCAATTTTGATAAAAGCTAATACTAATAATGATAATAATCTTGATAACATTAATTATATTCCTGAATCAAAAACCAAGCAACCTGTTTCTATTTTCCCTAGGTAGTTCAGACCATCAGTGCAGTGGATAGAGATGAATCCATAGAAGATCACCACTTTTACTTTAATCTACCTGTGGAAGACACAAAGAACTCAAGTTTCATAATCATAGATAATGAAGGTAATGCCATTCACTCATGATGGCTTTTGATCCTTTCTTTGAGAAGTGTGCTTGATTTTAAGGGGATTTATAATGTTGCTTTTTTATAGGGTTCTTGCAATATGATAATGTTGAGAAATAGAACAGAGTGGCAGTGAAAATGGTAAACAAAACCCGAAGTCAAGTTCTGAAAATACTAGCCCCATTTCTCAGTGGGTTTCTTTAAATGAGAAACACTTTATCAAGTCACCAGTGGCTACAAGACCTTGCAAAACCTGATTGACCCTGCAGATATAATGGCTGTGCAGACACAGTTGTTCCTTTCATGTCCTTGTAAAACTCAAACTTCAATCTATGGGAAAGAAAATGATATACACTTACAGTCATGTTAGCTGGATTGATTCACAGATATTTGGAGTCATTAATTAGAAGCTATAAATATATAAAATTGGTTTAAGATTATTCTCTTTCCTTCAAAATGAAATGATTATATCAATCTAAGGACACAGTGTGCCAAAGGATTTTGTCTGCAGAGACAGACTATCTTCTCCTTCCATACAGAAGTGGATTGACTTTGCATAAAACCACTCTGTTCTTTTTTCTTTCATGTCAGTAAAAGATATTCTTGTCATAATATGAATCTATTTTAATTTTACTTTATATCTTAAAGATAAGAAACACCTTAGGATTTATTACTCAAGTATCCATAGCCAAACACCTACAGATGTCCTTCCTTACATCTGATTTCAGGCTTTGATCTATGGAAGATCTTTTGTGGGAGCATAAATGCAGGCATGTTCTCTCCCTTTTCTCCTTGTCAAATTTCTCCATGAAGGAAACTCAACTAAACTTAGGATAAAAATGCAAATATCAATAGAAGAAATAAATTAGAGCTTAAATTTGTTTATATTAGTATAAGTCACTGGGGTAAAATAAGTATATTAAAACAAAGAAAATAATTAATTTGGTTTAATGTTTGTGATTAAGAATAATCTGATAAAATATGAATTGAAAAATGTAAAGTCTCTTACCTTTTCAATCTGCCTAGTAAATAAAATCACAAGTTTTACAGGTTCCAAAGCATGACGGAGAATTCGTCTTAAACGATGATTTGGGATAAGTGGTTAGCAGGCACACATTTTCAAACACTTCATTTATTTGCATTTTACTGTTCGTGTATTCTAAGTTTTGATTACTACAGAAAATATTTGGGGGGATGGCAATAAAAAAAAGAGGGGGGAAATATAGGACTCAGACACAAGAAATTGCACCAAAAAAGGTTACTTGGAATATTTTGGGATTCAGGGGAAAACAACTTCAAAAGTGTCAAAGCATATATTGTTCATCTTTGTTAATTTTTTAAATGTTCTGTCTAGAAGAGTGATCAGTGCTACTGAGGTTTAACCGTTATCTGAATTTTAAATAGAAAATGGGTTAATAATGTCAAAGTAAAATGAAACATCCCAATAGAATTTTTCCTACCAAATGAAACGAATCCTTCTGTCTCATTAATAAATGCATGATTTGAGACCACTTGCTCTGATATTGGTCGATGACTTTGAAAATCTTGTGCATTTATAGTATTTGTGAAAAGAATGAGTTTCTATTAGAAAAAGCACTGTCATGAGTAAAGAACCCAAATGAAACTCATACTGTCATCATAAATTTAATAGCAGCCTCTATAAAATATTGACATCTGTTTAAAAAGCTGTTTTCTTTGTTCCACAGCTAACGTTTTCTATCTTTATCAAAGACATTTTGGAACGGATTCATGTAATTCGTCTGATTATATAATTAGGGTTAAGGCAACGCCAAATCAGTAATGACTTTCTGAGTGGATCTTTTGACTTTTTATCAGAAATTTCTTCTTTATTACTTAAACTTACATGATATATCTATACATTGCTCTAGTGCATGTAACTGGTATGCATTTCTTTTATATTATTAAAAAATTATGCACATGGGTTTTTGTTTTAGATAACACAGCTGTAATTTTGACCAATAGAACTGGTTTTAGCGTTCAGGAAGAGCCTGTCTTCTACATGTCTGTCCTAATTGCTGACAATGGAATCCCGTCACTTACAAGTACAAACACCCTTACCATACACATCTGTGACTGTGATGACTCAGGCAGTACACACACCTGCAGGAATAAGGACCTTACACTTGCCATGGGATTCAGAACAGAAGTCATACTTGCTATTTTGATAAGCATCATGATGATATTTGGTAAGTAGTGCTGAACTGAACCCGTCTTCATTTCCTGGAAATAATGTGATAAATATAAAAAATAGTTAATTCTATTATCACAGCATGGTATGGGCGTGTGTGTGTGTGTGTGTGTGTGTGTAATTGCTCTTCTGAATATGTTGCAATTCTTAAACCAGTGGAGTAAATGAAAAATAAGAATGACCCTGCGGGGCTGGATCTCACAACTCCGAGATCATGACCTGAGCAGAGATCAGGAGTCGGCCTCTTAACCAACTCAGCCACCCAGGTGCCCCAAACTCCGTTTTTTTTGCTTGTTTGATTGTTTGTTTGTCTGTTGTTGTTGCTTTTAGAAGCAGATGTTATATTCACTTTACAGACGAGGCAAATGAACCCCAAAAAGTCAGGCTTCCAAGACTACAAATAATTCATTTTGTGTAACCTTTTCTCTTTCTTTAACATACCAGTATATATAATCTAAACCCTCTCTTGCTTCCCTTATAACTTCATGTCAAAAGTCAACACCACTCTACTGAGTGTTGAGAACAATTATATCAGCCACGGGTTCTATAATCCCAAACTCACTCCTCAAAATGGCATCTATGTTTCAGGGATTGCTTTGCCCTCACTCTTCTATTATTTCTCAAAGCTTCAAAAAATCACGCATTCCTCTTTACCATCCAAATTACCATTCTTTCCTACCCAGCCTCAGCTTTTAAGATAATTTTTAATGGTCTTTGATCCTAAAACCGAATATGGAGCTACATACCTGGGTATCAGAATCAAGTGTAGTAAAAACAGTGTTGTGTTTGAAGGGTGACAAGTACTGATTTACTCATAGGGACAGACCTAAACCAAGTCCAAAAACCCCATGAGTAAACCAAGGACAGCCTCACAGTCAGGGCATGAGTAAGATTTAGATGGTGGGAAGTATGGGTCAACCAATAGTCAGTAGTTTTCTTTGAAAATGTCATGAATACTCTCTCCAATTCATAGATTGAAAAAATTATTTATTAGTTCCCTTTCTATATCAACCACATATCTTAGCTGAGTTTCACAGTACCTGGATTCAAACCCAATGACCTTATTTCAAGAACACTATTCCAATTTTTTAAAAGGTAAGATTTATATAAGGTATTGCCTAATGTATTTCTCTTTATGATAATATTAATAACATCACTTCCTGTTTGTTTCAATTCCTATAGGTGAAATTCTGAACAGTTTAAAGGCTATGAAAGGGTTGGCTATTCTTGACACACACACACACACACACACACACGCATGCACAATTTTCTCTAAAAATAGAAAAAAGGTGCTTTGAAATTACTGTTTTTATGTGATATTAAAATTATGTAATAAATATTGATTGTGGGCGTACCAGTGTTATGATTTTAAAAAAATCATAGTTTGGGCTTTCTGAAATTAATGTGGTATCACTGAGCACAGGTTCTAAACCAACTATCTGGTGGCATATACTTTGTAGTCAATGAATATTAACGTAGAAAATCATTATGCCACAGAATTAGTCTCAGTGGGGAATTTCAAACTGCTCTGTTGTGCTTAACTTCTCTTAACGTGGATTATTGGTTACTAAAATTGACAAATGCATATAGATTGAAAAATGTTCCCTTATGCTATTTTTCTTTTTCTGTTTTCAATATATAAAAAATACGATTTTAAATTGATTATCATCACAAAACAGTTCACTTTTATTTTTATGATGTTTTTCTGCTCTAAATCATCAGCCAGAAATATTGTTACACTGCCTTATGTCATTCTGCATGACCCTTTAGTAAATTTTCAACAGCAAATACTGTAGTTGAGTTTTGGGGATTCAAAAGTTACACGAGGATATTCCACCGTGCAGGGAATGATGTCACCAATCCCTGCATTGTTCAAGGCTCAGCTGTTTGTTTTCTTTTGTCTTATAATCATAAAATCTAAACTCATGCCTTGAGCTTTTAACAAAAGCAAGGATTGTAAAGTTTATTATAAATAATGGGCGCCTGGGTGGCTCAGATGGTTAAGCCTCTGCCCTCGGCTCAGGTCATGATCCCAGCGTCCTGGGATTGAGCCCCATATGGGCTTCCCTGCTCAGTAGGGAGCTTGCTTGTCCCTCTCCCTCTCTCTCTCTCTGTGTCTCTCATGAATAAATAAATAAAATCTTAAAAAAAAAAAATAAATAAATAATATGTAATATTGATGAATATAAACTTATATTAACACATAGTATACTTATTATACTGTGTTAATTAGTGTCCTCATACGCTTTCTTTGTCAGGGTTTGTTTTTTTGATCTTAGGCCTGAAGCAGCGAAGAAAGCAGACTCTCTTTCCAGAGAAAGGTGAAGACTTCCGAGAGAATATATTCAGATACGACGACGAAGGGGGAGGAGAAGAAGATACAGAGGCTTTTGATACTGCGGAGCTGCGGAGTAGCACCACCTTGCGGGAACGCCAGGCACGGAAAACCGCTCCCGCAGAGATCAGGAGTCTGTACCGCCAGTCCTTACAGGTTGGCCCAGACAGTGCCATCTTCCGGAAATTCATTCTAGAAAAGCTCCAAGAAGCTAATACTGATCCTTGTGCCCCTCCTTTTGACTCCCTCCAGACCTACGCTTTTGAGGGAGCAGGGTCATTAGCTGGGTCTCTGAGCTCCTTAGGATCAGCAGTCTCTGACCAGGATGAAAATTATGATTACCTTAACGAGTTGGGACCTCGCTTTAAAAGATTAGCATGCATGTTTGGTTCTGCTATGCCGTCAAATAATTAGAGCTTTTTTTATTTTTAAAATTTTAAAAGTGCTAATATGTGTTTGGGCAAATTGGTAGTCTCTTAGTTAAGAGTGGTTTCCAGTTCTCGGTGTAGGGGAGAAAAGTTGTAGCGTCTTCGGATTTCCTGGGAGTGAATACCCCTTGGTTGTTTCAAGCTACCCACATGTTGTCCCCGAATACAGATGTGGAGTGATGCTAACCACCAGCTCTCTGCAGGCCAACTCTGGCATATAACTGAAATATTCCTCTAGCATTTTTTTTCACTACAATCCAATACAAAGTCTCAAAATTTTTGAATGTTTAATGTGAGAAAGGCCCTCAACTAGATCACCTTAATATTATTTCATTTATCCTTTTTTTTTTTTTTAATCTTACCAAGTGAGAGTAAAGTGTTTATGTGTTTTAAGTTCCTGATGTGGGCGCCTGGGTGGCTCAGTTGGTTAAGTTCCTGAAGCTACATGGAGATAACACCTAGTAGAATCTGGGTGATTATATAAAATTTTCAAAAACTGTTTCTTTTTTATGAATAAGCAAGTTTCTGACTGAGATTCTATGATTCACAATAGTTTGATATTTTAAAATCATTGTCAAGACCATACTTGAAAACTGATCTCAAATTTAGACAGATTCTTGGTCTATGTTAATTAATCAAAGATACAGTATAGATTTGTATTGTCTTTGGTATTACAGATTTGTATAAAAAAGGAAGTATGAAAATATGTCTGGGAGATTTTTATGTCATTTTTATATGTAACCAAAACACATCTTTATCATGTCACAATGCAATAACAAAATACATGTCAAGGTTTACTCAACATTAAATTTAAACGTTATGATAATTGTGGAAAGCGTGAAAAATTTTAAGTAAATTTTTATTGCCACTAAAAATGATAGCAATAAATGAAAGAAGTATTTGATTCAAAGTTGAATTAATATTCATCCAAAATATTTTGATCACCCTTACTGATTCTTACCATGCATAGAATAAAACATTATAAAATTCTCAGCATTTCCTTTTTATTAAGAACTTAGACCAGAACTGATTCTTCAGTGTCATTTTTTTATTATGGGATATAAAATTAGGTGCAATAGTTCCTTTTATTGTAACATTATGAAGGAAGTATGCTAAGCTGCTGGACATGATAAAATCCATGGTAACATCCAGATAACAAGCTTTATGATAACATCAGATAATAAGATAATAAAACCCTTTAATTTTAATCAGCATTTTAAGAACGATCCTTATTATTTTATCCAAATCAAGATGGAATTCAAAATTCATAGGTTGAACAGAAAAAATGGTGAATACAGTGTCCTCAAAATTGTTTTATATGTTCATTTCTTATTAGCAGCATGTGAAAATGAGCTGAACCAAATTGACCATATATATTTAGGTAAAATATTTTGAATAATTTTTAGCTAAAGATAGTGGATTTGAATAGTTACAGTATTGTTTTCCTCTGCACTTGGAAACATAAACACCACACCATGTAATAGAAGCAAGGTTTTCCATCAATATCAATTCAGATACCATTATGTCAGCAACGTAGGTATCATCACCTTACAAAAGCCCAAGACTGGAAATACAACAATTTAGGAGGATATTAAAAGTAGATGAGAAGTCATAAGCCATAGAAAATCTTTATGCATTCATATCATCATTTACTTAGGGAAGAGTGTGAATACTAAACAAAACAAAATGTTAAAAGAAAAAACGTGCTAATAAAATAGAAATGTATGAGTTGAGAGAACATTTCTATTTCTATCATATTGACATAAAAATTGAAAGAGTATAATTGGGGATATTTTCAGGAATTATTCCATAAAGGATTGTTCCCCGTATTTAAAAGATAGTGTTACATAATCTTGGTTGAAGAATTGGAAAGTACGATAAACAACAGGTAAATCAATCCATGGAAGATAGATGAGAAAAACAGAAATAGGGTTTTCTGAGGATCCAGTGGGTTCTGTCATGGGACAGAACAACCTATCAATTTGGATGAACACTTTAAAAAATGACCATCTGCATCAACGGGGTTTCATGTTTGAGCCCTGTGGCACTAAGCAGATGTGTTAAAATAAATTCTGGTTTAGTTGATGATGGGATTGTTAATTATAGGTACATAGGAAAAGAACATACATGGTTGCATATCTATTTGCTAGTCTAAAAAATGTCCTTTTAAACTATATCAAAAAATACTATCTGATTCTTGTACAGAAGTTGCAATTTCCTTGAAATTATACTCGGTCACATTTCAATCACACTTGACCTTTTTGTAGTCACCTGGGTGTTGCAAGAACACAGCTGTATCCTAAGCTAAAGACATGGCATTAAGATCTCATTTTTGTAAATTTTCATAAAGGCTAAATCAATGCAGATATTTATGAAAATAGCACAGCTTCACATTAATACCTGCGGTGCTTAAATATTACCCTTCGTTAACTCACAGGACATAGGAAAAAATAATTTTAAAAGTGTTTTTGACACTGACCAGAAGCTGTGCAAACTGTCTGGGATTTGGCCAAGGTGGGCATCAGAAAGATCAATGCAAATGTATGTAAAAACTGAATAGTATAAAACATTTTCATGATGTTTCTTCCAAGTTCCAGCTAATCAATAATCTGTATACAACAACATATCAAATCAATTTGGAATTTCATATATTTTAAATAATTCAAAAATCAATTCTTATCTAAATCAGAAGCAAAATACAAAAAAGTAAACATAATTTTAGTGTCCTTAAAAATTTGTGAGCATATGAAAATAGTTTACAGAACTATTTCATGTCATTCTTTTGTGCTTATTCATTTTAATATTTAAAACGTGATATGTTCTATTGAGTTCTGCAGTGCTAAGTGATTTATCTCAGCTACAAATAAGGCTGCACATGTAAAATAACTCATATCCATGATTACATAGAGGTCCAAATCTGTAGAATGTTTTGTCTAGAAAAGGGAGTGGAGCTGATGTATGTATTCACATGTTTCCATAATATCTCATTTACATGCTAGTGAGAATAAGTGGTCTATGAAGTACATTTTTAATTATTTTCCAGTTGCTAACATTTCTTTGTTGTGTAAACTTTGATGAATTATTTAAAATGTTATCTTTTGGTACCTTAATTTGTACAGTAAGGATATTAAAAATAGATAATCAGATTTTCATAGGAATTAATAAAAATAATACATATAAAGAATGAATTATGCCTCATGTAGAGAATGTATGACATTTTATCTGTTATTGTTAACATAACAATTATTGTGACATTATTAAGTTTATCTTTAGAAATGCTCATAGACCAAGCTCATTCCTCTACAATTAATGTGGACAAGAAGAAAATGAATTAATGCAGGACAATAATTAGCTTGCTTTTACTTACTGCCTCCCCACCTTGACCCTTCCTGGGTAATGTTCCATTATTACCAAAGGAAAAAATTAATTGCTCAAGTTATGCATTATGTATGAGATGTTCTGATTGAAAGTCACTCCCCTATGGCATTTATTTGGGGGAAAAACTCTGCTAAGTAATAACCACAGATCATGGCAACTTTATGTAGGTATGGGTATTTTAGGGAAAAAAACTGTCAAAAAAGAAAGGGGTTTGCTCACTTAGTCACTAATGCACAAATGAAATTATTTCTATGTTATATTAGATTTACATGGAAGAAATAAAACAAACATGCTAACAGCTCCATAAGAAAGCTTTCAAACCTGTTGTTGATAACATCCGATGCCCAAAGTTCTAATTTTATATTAGGAATTTAAAATTAAATTAAAAAACAGATTGTTCTCATCACCTCTGACAATACAAAATGAAAATCTGCACCCTTGGCTTTTACCTACGCTGTCCTATCCTCTCTCTTTTTAAAAAACAATAATTAAGAATACATTGCCATATGTTCTCTGCTGAGTAAATTTTTATCCTCTTGTCTTTTTTATCCAATCTTAGGGCTCAGGCAAGTTCTAGGCAATTGTCCAGCTTATACCGACACCTTGGTTTTCAGATACTTCTTTCTTATTCCAGATGACCTCTACATAATTCTGGAAGCTTCCTCTGCAGCACTAATTACCTAATTTTAACTCTATTAAAACTTAACACATATCTGCACTTGACATATTCAGTTTACATAGAGAGAATTTCACCCGATTATTTGAAAATGGTTTAAGTTTGACTAAATGTATAAATTAAATTAGAAGTGGATAAATCACATAATATATTTATCCAAAGCAATTTATCATTATCACACATTGTTTAATAATAACACAGTTTTTAAGAGCAAAGATTTCTTTTTTATAAAATAGTGTCTACAGTCATGGTACTTTATTTTTGTGTAAATACCTGAAAGTAAAATCTTACCAAGGCACAGGCTAAGAAAAATTGTGAACTGTAAAAATTCTAAGTATTTTTCCCATCGGGTTCACTCATTCTTAATAAGTAAATTAACAAACATCGAAGATTTTATCCACTGGTAGTATCTAGGGAGCATCTCTAAGTGGAGCGCTATGTAATAAACCCTGAATAGAATCTCAGCAAAGGAAATATCAGGGTCTTAGCCTGAAAAATATCGGCAAGGAACACTTGGAATTGAAGGAAGCAGATGTGACCAGAATGACTGAGTACTGCTAACGTGAGACTTGGTGCTGAGCCCAGCTCCCTCCGTGCTTCACAAGGAATATCTGCCTCTTAGCCGTCTTCCCATAGTTATGCTACTGGCCAAAAAGAGGAAAATATTAATGATGGGAGGATTTGTATTCTTTCAAATGTTTCTGAATATAGCAAACAAAGCAGTTCCCCTAAATCTCTCTCACTCTTTTTGTTTTAAGCACCTGTATTTCTAGGTCCTATTCTCAGTGGTTTTCTTTTTTTTCTTTTCTTTTCTTTTTTTAATGTGTTATCTCATTTAATCATCTATTGTGTGAGGGAGGCACTGGTGTTATTCCCAGGATACTAACAAGGAAATTGAGACAAAGAGAAAAAGAGACACAAGGCAAATTGAGACAAAGAGACACAAATTACTTCAGTAATTTGCCTGAAGTCATATATGTAATAAGTAGTAATAATGCACACCTAGGCAAGCTAGTTCTAGATTCCAGGCTTTTATCCATTACACCATGCTGTCTGTCCATTTACCGCAGCTCCTTAGGTTATTAACCTTGGGGCTTTTTAATATGACATATTTTTCTGTCTCCATAGTAACAATCCTCCCATAAAGGGTATTCAAACAAATAATTGTGTGCAATTTTTATATCATAATTAGCAAATAAATGATGAGCACAAGAAAGATAGAAGATTAAGGCAAGAAAATATATATTTTTTTAAACCCCACTAAGTTCACATTGGAGAACTCACAGCAATTGCCATTTGTTTGCATTGCTTTCATTACATCCTCCTGCTTCTTCCTTGGATCTTCCTTCGATTTGGCATTTTCTGTATCATATACCACTTACACTAAAATGTGCTTGATTTTTTTGCCTTTTTTTCCATCATTTAATCATCAACTAGAGACAGGGATTAGCTGTTTTTGAGCAATGATTTTTGAGATTCGTGGGGACAGAACAGAGCACTGAGACTCACAGGGCTGGTGAATGATTTGAATGCGGAGGCAGCAGAAAGTAAGCTTACATTAATATCAGACCTGGTTCCCTGATTTATCTTTCAACAGTGATCTGTGTTCTAGGAATGAAAGCAAGATAATAAGCCCGACATGTTCCTTTAACTTTTCCCTTCTGATATCAGACTGCATGGTCTCTATCTTACCAAGGGGTGTAATATTCCTTGATTAAAGGAGACAGCACTGGTCAACAGATGACCCCAAATACCAGGATAATAGGCACGATCACTAGTGTACCTCTATCGATTCTTCTAGCATGCGTCCACTTCACTTAGGATAAAAACGAAGTGGAGGTTCCCTTTGGTTCCCAGCAATTCATGGTATCAAGTGAACACATTGGGAAGCACATTAATCACCTGATTTTTTGCACATCTGAACTGTAATTGAGTTATTTTTGACCTTCCGACAAATATATTTTAATGAGGTATTGATTTTTAAGGTGGCCGACACAGAACAGTACAAGTCGATTTAATAATATGCATTTTTAACTTGAAATTCCTTGTTTAAGAATGTCTTCTGCTCAAATTAGGGTCAAATCAGGCAAATCTTTAAAATCATAAACCCAGCGAAGGTGCAAACAAGAAAGAGAAAATAAATCACGAGCCGTAGATCCAGACCCCTTTTAAAAGGGCAACTATGCTTACGAGATGGCTTTCCATGCTCTTTCTACTTTTCTTGGTGGAAAGCAAGTACTCTGAAATCCTTTCTCTGTAATATTTTTAGAGAAAATATTAGAACATGGGGGCCGGTTTGTAACATGGAATCACTAATGTATTCCTTACTAGGCAATTAAAATGGCTTGTTCCTGCTACTAACCTGAGGTTTGACTCTTATCTGGCAAAAGCAAGGTTGACAAGTCATAAGCAAGATCTGCTCCAGCCGTAGGTGCATTCTACCCATTTTGATTTAGATGGAAGACTGCCCTTCTGTATTTTGTGCCAAGGCAAACATTACCATTATCAACTCAGAGGTAGGGAATATAATTGAATATGTATAAGGAAGTAGCACCAACCGACACAGAATTGTATAACTTTATATTACATTAAAATCCTAAATTTCTTATGGATTCTAATTTTGTTTTCCTATTGGTTTGCAACATTAATAAACATTAATAGATTTATTGAACTATATAGCAATAACTAGAACTGAAGTCATAGTTTAGACTTTTATGAGTGAATCATCCTAGAGTATTTAACATTCCAGATTGCAGAAGGTTTCTGCCCTTGTAAATCATTTGCTACTTTATAATGTGTTCTCTTTTCTAATTAAATTGATTGCACAAAGCTGGTAGAACCTTGGGATTTGAACTCAAAGAGCATTATGGAGGCAGAGCTATTCATTTCTGAGCTGGTTCCTGTTTTGTCACATACCAAACTATTCTAAAAGCCAGATGCTATTTTCTATGGCATGTCTGCTACTCCCTAAGGTAGATTTCAGCCCCCAATATTCCCTTCCCTAATCACTTCCATTTATTTTTATACTGTATATAACATTAAGTAAATCAGAGTATTCCATTATGACCTCTAATTGCTTTTCTGAAGAGTAGGCTTCTTAAATGTATTAAATATGTTAAACATGGCAACAGTCCCACTGAGAGACATAGGGATCTCAACAACATCATCACCTTTATAAAGCAATTGAAGATGCTTCTCTTTTTCCAGGCAGTTCTTTAATTCAAGTAGAAGTAATCTGAGATGTGGCTTTTATAATTAGCCTTTGCCTTAAGACATTGCCCCAGAAGAGAAAAGATCAGAATAATAATGAAATTTTAAATAACATACCTACACTGCTTTGCATTAATAATAGAAGAGCCAAGGGATATTGGTTGGAATACTCAAGTATTTAGTAGATATCTTTTGGGGAAATATAGTGTATGGTTAGCATTGTTAATCTTTTCCAAAGTTAAATCTCAGACTGTTAAACAACTGTTAAACTACTTGTAAGTCAGTATGTCCCTAAAGTGTCCCTCAACTACTAAAAATATCAAGAGGTGAAAATGCAAATTTTAGAAGATATTTTGCTTCCTAAGCAATTACTTTCATCAAATGATCCACTTTAAAAATACTATTAAATATCTTTAAAATGTGACCTCTATATGATTGATCCCTATACCGTTTCATTTTTAGGATGATTTGGTTCTAAAATACTAAGTGACACACACACACACACACACACACACACTTACCCTAAGTACTACACCAAGCTGTGCAATGTAAAATACTGTTACAAATATATAATAGGCTGCAGAAGTCACACCCTAAGATAGTGACAATCTATTCTGCTATATTCTCATCCTAGGCTCTTTCTAATGACACGAAGCCATCTCACTTATTCAACTTCCACTTTTAATCCCAAACAGCAAATATTTATTGAGTACCCACTACATGGCAAGCATTTTAGCAGATGTTGAGAAAATCAGGGAGAATAACACATGGTCTCCCAACACCAAAAACACAAGAGACGTGTGCCCAGCAGTACATTTATCACAATCCAGATGCTATTGGAGGTAAATATAAAGTGGCCTTGGAACATGGTGGAGGGAACCACTCACTGGCTCATTATGGCAGTAGAGAATATGGCAGAGAAAAGCAGTGAGGATACACTTTGCTTCACAAGAAGGTGATATTCGAGCCATGGTTTGAAGAAGATTGATAAGGATATAGTCATTCCCACAATCTTTGCAGATACCATACCATACCCCTGACACATGTACCTCCCACACAGTGGAATTTCTTTGGATGTTAGAACTTGCTTGTGACACCTTGCTACGTTTGTAGGTACACAAGAGTTACCTCAAAGCTAGGCTTCCACCAAAGACACAGTAGTGAATACCAGTCATGTTGCAAAGGCAAACACTTAGGTAGGGAGCTTAATCCCGCTGTGGAAAGAGAGCACTGTATTGCACAACTCAAGGGCTGCCATTCATTTGTCATTCCGTGTTGTATAGTGTTTGATTTATGAGACAACGCTGGCCACAAATGGCTTCCTCCCAAGAAAATTTTGAATATATTTTATTTTTTAAAAACAATTTTAGGGGCACCTGGGTGGCTCAGATGGTTAAGCGTCTGCCTTCGGCTCGGGTCATGATCCCAGAGTCCTGGGATCGAGCCCCACATCGGGCTCCTGGCTCAGCGGGAAGCCTGCTTCCCCCTCTCCCTCTCTCCCTGCTCATGCTCTCTCTCTCTCTGTGTCTCAAATGAATAAATTTTAAAAAATCTTAAAAAAAAACAAAAACAATTTTAGATTTACTGAAAAGTTGTGATGACAATATAGTCTTCCCATAAAACACTTGTCCAGTTCCCCCTAGTATTAACATTTTCCATTAGTGCAACATGGTTATTCTAATTAATGAACCAGTAATGATACATCATTACTAAAACTCATAATTTATTCAAATTTCCATAGACTTTACCTAATGTCTCTCTTGTTCCAGCATCCTATCCAGGGTACCTGCCACATTACTTTGTTTTCACGCTCCTTAGTCTCCTCTTAGCTGTGATAGTTTCTCAGGCTTTCATTGGTAGAGATGACCTTGACTGTTTTGAGTAGCTCTGGTTGGGTATTTTGTAGAATGTCCCTCTGTTAGATTTTGACTAGTGCTTTCCTAATGATCAGACTGGGGTTATGGGTTTTGAGGAGGAATATCATTGAGGTAAACTATCATTTTCATTATATGGTAACTCAAGGGTACATACTATCAGCGTGGTTTATTTCTGCTGATGTTGACCTTGATTACCTGCTTGAGGTAGTGTTTTGCCAATTTTCTCCACTCTAAAGTTAATCTTTTTTCTCTCTTTCCATACTATACTTTTTGCAAGGAAGTACCTATGTGGATCCCATACCTAGGACATGGAAAATTATGCTTCCTCTCACTGAAGATCATTTTTTTATGGACTATGTGTCTATTCTCCCAACTTATTTACTTATTTGTTCACTCATTTATATCAGTATGTACTTATGGATACTTTTGTTCTATTTTAGGTTATAATATAATATTACTTAATTTTGTTGCTCAAATTGTTCCAGCTTTGGTCATTGGGAGTTCTTACAGTTGGCTTTTGTGTCCTTATGACATACCCGTGTGTGTGTGTGTGTGTGTGTGTGTAGTGCTCCTCACTTTTCAGCACTATCACATGCTCTAGGCTTATCATGTATATTCCCTGCTCCACTCCCAGAAGAAGCCATTTCTCCAAAGAGCCACAGGGTAAATGTTATTGGAGAATGATGTTAGATACCAAGTTTGGGCAATAGGTGTTGTTATTGCTACGGGGATATTATTTCTTTCCTATTAGGCCTTTTCAGCTGACAGAGCAAGGAAATGTATGTGTGTTTTTACTGTTACTTGCATATACACATATCTTAATCATATCATAAATATTTCCACACATTACCACCTGCATCTGCATTAAGCAAAATATGAGTTTATGCTCATGGTTCCAACACTAATCCACTAGCTCATGGATCATCCTAGCCTTCTACACTTGATTATTATATCTAAACTGTGCTCCACCAATAAGCAAACTAGCTTCTCATATCTGCTATTTATTTAGTTAATTATTCAAGTTTATCTACAAGATTGTGAGCCAGTTTCCCCTTTGAGACAAAACTTTATCCCCTAGATTACAGGGCTATGTACAATTTCTTTTACCTTTAGTTTTACAGACTCTAGTTATTTCCAAAGTTACTTAGGTCAGCACCTCCCCCCGCCAACTTTCAGTGAGGTTGTTTCATAGATTTATGTAGTTATATAGTACAGTTATATTGTTTTGTCACATTCTGCATTCCATTCTGAGATTCCCTCAATCTCCTAAATATTTTTATTTACATATATTCAAGTTAATTCTATATAATGCTATAAGCTCAATGGGTTTTGACAAATTGTAGTGTTATATAACCTCAATCACATTATCATACAGAATAGTTTCTTTGTCCTAAAAATGTCCCTGTGCTTTTCCTATTTAACTCTTCTTTCCTCCCCCCCACCAAAATCTGGTAGTTATTGGTCGTTTACTTTCTTTATAGTTTTGCCTTCTCAAGAATATCTTATAATTTGAATCATACAACAGGTAGCCCTTTAGACTGGCCTCTTTCACACAGCACTGTGCTTTTAAGGCACCCTCAGATCTTTTTGTGGTTTGATAACTCATTTATTCTATTGCTGCCTAGTATTGCATTAGATGGATGTACCATAGTTGGCTTATCTATTCACCTATAGCAGGACATCTTGGTTGCCCTCCTTTTTGGCAACATGAATAAAGCTCATGTAAACATTCCTATGCAGGTTTTTGCATGGACATAAATGTTCAAATCACTTGTGTAAAAACCTAGGAGCGTGATTCCTTGATCATATGGTAAGGCTTTGTTAAGCTTACTGAAAAGATACCAATCTGTGCTCCCAAATATCTATACCATTTGAATCCCCATCAACAGTGAATGAAAGTCCCTGTTGCTCCACACCTTCCTGAGCATTTTGTATCAGGAACTTTTTGGATTTTAGCCATTCAAATAGGTTTGCTGTTGTATCTCATTTTAATTTGCATTTCCCTCATTACAAATTATAATGAGCATCTATTCATATTCTTATTTGCCAACTGTATATCTCCTTTGGTGAAGTGACTGCTCAGATCATTTACCCATATTTTAATTAGGTTGTTGGTTTTGTTGAGTTTTAAGTCTTTCTTCTATATTTTGAATAAAATATAGAAAAAAAAAGGGTTCTTTCTGTATTTTAGATAAAGTATATTTTCCAGATATGTTTTTCAAACATTTTATCTCAGTGTCTTGTCTTTTTATTTTCTTAACAGTATCTTCTGCAGAGTAGAAGATTTTCTTTTAATGAAGTATATTTTATCAATTTTTTTCATGGATCATGCTTTTGATGTTGCATCGAAAAAACTCAGCCAAGGTCGCATAGATTTTCTGCAAAGTTCTCCTCCAAGATATTTATAGTTTTGTGTTCCATATTTATATCTATGATCCATTTTGGAGTGAATTTTGGCAAAGTCATGATGCCTTTGTCTAGGTTTATTTTTTCTCATGTGTACATCCAATTGTTCTAACACCATTTGCTAAGAAGACTATCCTTTCTGCAATGAATTCCCTTCGCTCCTTTTTCAAGCATCAATTGAGTATATGTGTATTTCTTTCCCCTGGGCTCTTTATTTGGTTCCATTGATCTATGACAATACCATGCTGTCTTAATTACTATAGCTTTAAAGCAAGCCTTGAAATTGGTAGTGTGAATTCTCCAACTTAGTTATTTTTCTTCAGTATGTATTGGCTATTTTAGAGCTTTTTCTTTTCATGTAAAGCTTAGAATCAGTTTGTCCACATCTACAAAATAGCTTACTTGTGTTTGTACTGGGATGGCACCCATCTATAAATCAAGTTGGGAAGAACTGCCTTTTAAACAACATTGTGCCTTCTATTCCATAAATAAGGAATATCTATTTATTTAGATCTTTGATTTCTTCCATCAGAATTTTGTAGATTTCCTCATATTTTTATAAGATTTACATTTAAGGATATTTTTGTGCTAATATAAATGGTAATGCACTTTAGTTTCAAATTCTAAGTGTTTAGTACAGGTGTATAGGACAGAAATTGACTTTTCTTGTCTTTTTTTTATTTTTTCATTATGATTTTTGTTTGTTTGTTTGTTAACCATGTATCCTGCAACCTTGCCATGCTCACTCATTAGTTCCAGATTTGTTTGTTTTTTAATTGCTTGGGATTTTCTACATAGGCAATCATGTCATCAGCAAGCAAACATATTTTTACTTCTTCTATTCCAAACTATACTTTTGGTTTTCTTTTTCATTTTTTTCTTTTTTTGTCTAATTGCAGTAGATAGGAATTCCAATATGATGTTGAATAGAAGTGGTGAGAGGGAACACCCTTCCCTTTCCCCAACTTGGTTAAAAGAGTCTAGTTTCTCACATTACATATGATGTTAGCTGTAAGTTTTTTCTAGATATAACAAATTTCTGCTCTATTCTTAGTTTGCTGAGTTTTTTCTTTAAGTCATGAATAGGTGTTGGATTTTGCTATTTTTAAGCAATAATTCGTATGATCATTTGATTTTTCTTCTTTAACTTTGTTGATATTGTGGGTTGTATTTATTGATTTTCAAGTATTGAGCCAGGTTTGCATTTCTAGAATGAGTAAACCCACATGGTCATGGTGTATAATTCTTTTTTATACATTGTTTTTGCTAATGCTTGCTTTACACATTGGTTTGCTGATATTATGTTTAAGGAATTTTGTATTCATGTTCATGAGACACATTGGTAGCTTTCTTTTCTTGCAGTGTTTCAATTTGATTTTGGTATTGGGGTAATATTTGCCTCAGAGAATGAGCATAGAATGAGTTAAGAAGAGTTCCTTTTAGGGTGCCTGGGTGGCCCAGTTAGTAGAACATGTGACTCTTGTTCTTGGGGTTGTGAGTTTGAGCCCTGCATTAGGTTCAGAGATTACTTAAAAAAAAAGACTTCCGTTTTTTGTGGGTTTTTTTAAGATTTTATTTATTCATTTGACACAGAGAGAGAGAATAAGCAAGGGGAGTGGCAGGCAGAGGGAGAAGGAGAAGCAGGCGCCACGCTGAGCAGGGAGCCCAATGTGGGACTTGATCCCAGGACCCTGAGATCATGACCTAGCCAAAGGCAGATGCTTAACTGACTGAGCCACCCAGGAGACCAAAAAAGACTTCCTTTTGCTTCTACTTTTTTTTTAAAGGGATAGTAGAGAATTGGTATCATTTCTTTCTTAAATATTTGATAAAATTCACAAATGAAATCATCTGGGCTTGGTGTTTTCCATTTGTAAGGTTATTAATTACTAATTCAATCTCTTTAATAGATAAAGAACTACACAGATTATTTTTTCTTGTGTGAGTTTGGTAGTTTGTGTTACAATGAATTGGTCTGTTTTATCTTTTTTTTTTTAAGATTATTTATTTATTTGTCAAAAAGAGAGACAGTGAGAGAGGGAACACAAGCAGGGGAGTGAGAGAGGGAGAAGCAGGGCCTCCCGTGGAGCAGGGAGCCCCATGCGGGGCTTGATCCCAGGACCCTGGGATCAGGACCTGAGCCGAAGGCAGACGCTTAACGACTGAACCACCCAGGCGCCCTGTTTAATTTATCAGAATTATGGGCAGAGTTTTTCACAGTGTTCACTTGTCATCCTTTTAATGTTCATGAATTAATACCTTTAATACCCCTTTTATTTCTAATGTTTATAATTTGTGTTTCCACTGTTTTTTCCCCCTTGGTTGTCCTGCCTAGACTTCTATTAATTGTATTGATTTTTTTAAGAAATCACCTTTGGTTTTACTGATTTTGTCAATTGCTTTTATGGTTTTTTCAATTCCATTAATCTTTTTTTACCTGATTTTATGAATTGTTCTCCTTTGCTTGCTTTTGTCTTAAATTGTTCTTTCTCTAGTTTCCTAAGATGGAAACTTAGATTATTGATTTTAGATCATGTTTTTTGTAACACTTTAATTTAAATTTAAATTTAATTAAAATTGTGATTTTATTTCACTTGTTTTAATTTTTAAAATTTTTTGAGATTTATTCTCAAAATAAATCTTGTCCCATATATTATTTAGAAGTGTGTTCCATAGCCTCCAAATATTTGAGGATTTTCCAGGTATCTTTCATATAAACTTCTCTTTTAATTCCATTTTGGTAAGAAAATATCCTTTGTAGGACTTCTATGCCTTAAAATTTGTCAAGGCGTTTTGATCACCAGGACTATTGTCTATCTTAATGAGTGTTCCATGGGAGTTTGAGAAGAATATGTATTCTGCTGTTATTTCATGGACTGTTCTATAAATGTCAATGTGATTGAATGGCGGTGCTGGTCAGGGCAACTATATCATTTCTGATTTTCTGCCTGCTTGAACTGCCAATTACTGAAAGAGGGTGTTGAAATCTCAAACAAAATAATGGACTTCTCTATTTATTCTCTAAGTTCTATAAGCTTTTTTTCCCTCATATGTTTGTGCTTTTTTGTTAGATGCACACACATTAAAAATTATGTTTTCATGGAGAATTGATTTCTTTATCAAACTATCTATAGATATAGAAATAAATATTTATCATTATCTATAATGGTACACGGATAAATGTACAGATGCATATATAGATATATATTACTATCTATCTATATAGACATATCTATCTGTATCTCCCTCTTTACACCTGATGCTTTTCCCTGTTCTAAAATCCACTTCTTCTGAAATTTATATACTGATTAAAGAGTTTTTATTAATATTAACACAGTACATTATTCCCATGCCTTTAGTTTTACTTATTTGAGTCTTCACATTTAAACATATAGTGAGTTATTTTTATATCCACTCTTACAATCTGTTTTAATGATTATAGTTACACCATTCACATTTAAAGTGATTACTGATATATATGAATAATAGCTATCATGTTAATAGTTGTTTTCTATTTATTGATTCAAATTCGTCTATTGTCCTTTTTGTCGC